CAGAGTCGGGCCGGACGAAAGGGGGGGATTGGGAAAGGGGGGCTTACGAAATCTGCTGCATGCAGCTTGTTTCGGCCCCACCGAGGGGCCCATTCCTCGATACATAGCCGCCTCCGGCGCCGGGAGGCGCCGGGAAAATCAGCTACGTGAGCTGATTCTCAACCCCCCCCCTTCGGTATTCCCCCCCCCTTTCGCCTGGCCCGACAGAGGATGCGTACAGATCTCGTCGCCCCCGCAGAGCGCAGTCGGGTTGGGCCGCCGCGGGACCGGGGGGCCCCGAGGGGCGCGGGGCCCGAGCTTCTGTCTGCCGCCCTCGGGCTCAAAGGGGAGAGCGGCTCGGCACGCAGAGCGGGTCCCGGGGAGCGCCCCGCCCGTCGTCCAGCGAGGAAGAGGTGGCCCATGGCGCTGCCCTTGCCTCGCCGCCCACTTCTCTCGGCATCGCTCGGGCGTGTGCCTTTTTGTCTATGGCGGGGGCCATCGAGGAGCCGATTGGATCATCTTACGAGAAGCACAAACACACACCAAACACACACACACGCACACACACACACGCACACATACACGCACACATACACACACAGACACACACACACACACACACACACACACACACACACACACACACACACACACACACACACACACACACACGCACGCGCGCGAAAGCGAAAAACGCACGGGGAATGGACGCCCGAGCGGTGGCGAGTTCTGGGGTCTCCTGGATTCGCCTCGAAGGCCTGGCCAGGATCGCACCCGTGGAGAGGTCCGGGGGGGGGGAGTGGCGGTATTGGTGTTTTCGGGCTTCCCCCCTCCCTGGGTGCGAGGCGGGGATGTACACATATCCACCGCCTCGGAACCGACGTCCTGGTGCCCCAGCGGGCGGTGGACATGGATACACATTGCTCATCTCTGATTCTTCGAGAGTTCTTTGATTTTTTGGGTGGTCCAAGATCCTTTCATTTCGAATTCTTCTATCCTGGGCCTCTTCCTGGCCACTAGGGGGCCAGGAACAATTAGAAACGAGCACAATTAGAAATGAGCACGATTAGACATTAACGACGTGTATAGTTCGGCTCCCGGTGGCCTGGACATATCCATAATCCACCGCCTCCAGAGGTCTCCGAACGTTGATCCTCAAGGGGGTGGTCATGTATAGATTCCCGCCTTGGACCGAGGTCCAGGACCCAGTTCTCTCGGGGCCCGCTTCCTTCGTCGTCGTCGTCGTCGTCGTCGCCGTCACCGCCGCCGTCGCCGTCGCCGTCGTCGTCGTCGTGGTCGTCGTCGTCGTCGCCGTCGTGGGCGTGGTCGTCGTGCCCAGGTACGACGCCATGAAGGCCGCCGAGCTGAAGGCGCTCTGCCGGGAGAAGGGCCTCGCGGTGTCGGGCACGAAGGCGCTGCTCGTGGCCCGCCTCGAGGCGGCGGAGGGCACGGCGCCGCCCACGAAGACCCGGAAGACGACGAGGAAGGCCCCGACGCCAGCCCCGGCGAAGAATGGGGGAGCGCAGGGTGGCATAAAGACACGAGAACTCCGGAGGTCCGCGCGGATGTCTTGGATCCGCGCTGGACCCCCCCGTCCCTGGCGCGCGGAGGCGCCGCCAGGGAGGCGGGGCCGGAGGCGCCGCCAGGGGGCTCCAGCGCGGACCCGAGAAATCCGCGCGGAGCTCGGAGGTTGTATGCTTGTGCCAGCTTCCGTTCCCCTAGAGAGGGCGCCAGCGCCAGCGCCGGCGAGGGGGGCTCCAGCGCCAGCGCCGGCGCCAGCAAAGCCCGCGCAGGCACCCAGTGAGAAGAGGGCTCCCTCGAGCAAGACGGCCCTCGAGCCTGGCGACAGGCTCATGGCCCGCTACCACCGCGACGGCCAGATGCACCCAGGCATCCTTCTGATGATCCAGGAGAACGACAGGTATTTGATCTCGTGGGACGAGCCAGACGACAACGAGCCGTTGACAAGCTGCACGGACGTGCAGCTTCTGAAGAAGGCCGCGACACCACTGGAACCTGGGAAGCAGCAGATCTTGACCGCTTCGCGGGAGAGCACCCAGAGGGGCCAGGGTCGGGCAGGCCCAGGATGAGGATCCATTGTTCCAGAGCGTTCCCGAACGCAGCGTCGACCTGGCAACGGCTTCGTCGGTTGCCTATGCGTCTTTGGTCCCTTTCACGATACCTCGCGTTGTCTTTTTGGTGGTGCGGTTGTTTCTTGGGGCCACCTCGCCCCGCGCTCTCGAGCACGCCGTGCGCCCCAGGTGAGGGCGAGGGCGAGGGCGACGACGGGGCGAGGCCGCCCCATGTATGCAATGTGCACTTCTCAATCTAGGGGCCTTCGGCCCATCCGGCCACCGCGCTTGGGTTGTGGACGAGGGGCCTCTTGGATGCTTCGCGTGGCCTCCCGAGACGCCTCTCGCGGGTCTTGTTGACGCATCTCGGGGCCCTCCCGGGAGCCTCCTGGGAGCCTCTTGGAGGCCTCTGGGGGCCTCTTGGAGGCTTCTCGGGAGCCCGCTGGCGGTCTCGGGGGCCATCTCGGATCATCTTTGGGTGGGGGGGCTCCAACTTTCAGTCCGAGTTCCCCCTCTTGGGCCCCCGTTGGGGGTCTCTCGGGCTGCTCTCAGAGCCTCGGGGGCTTTCCCTGGCCGCTCTCGTCGGCCACTTGGGTCGTCTCAGACGCGCTCGAGACCGAAACGGACGCGCTGCGAACCGCATTTGGGGGGGGGGGGACGCGACGGAGGGGGGCAGGGCAATCGAAGAGGAGGGCGAGCAGGATGACGATGAGTATCAGGGCGAGGGCGGGGGTAAGGTGCGGAAGAAAATGAGGAAACGGATGCGCTTGGAACGTGGGTTTTCACTGTTCCTGAGGTTTGGAGGTGCAGGGGGCGCAGCAAGACTTCCCCTCACCTGCCGCTTGTGATCAGGGGCCACCACTGCCGACCTTCGGCTTAGACATTGCCAGCCCAGCGCGCCCGCCGGCAACCAGCGCGCGCGCGCGCGAAAGAAACATTTTCGACCAGTTCGACGGTTTTGCGCACTGAAGCCATGGCGCCTGCGCAGGAATACCAACTCGGATGAAGCGCGCGCCCCGCGGGCGAGTTCAGCGCAGACACGGCGAGCGCTTCTTTGGTGTCCGTGGCGCTCCCCAGCGATCTGGCGCACGCAGATGTTGCCCCGGCTACCACACGCACTCGTGCCAACGGTGCTGTCGCCGCGCAGTTGAACCCGAGCTCTGTCTTCAGCGCCTCACGATTGCGTTTGGGCGCCAACCCGCGCGGCCCCGAATTGGCGCCAGCAGTCGGGCAGACCCTGTGGTTGGCCGAGAGCATGCGTTTTGCGGCGGTGGCGAGCGCGGGGGGGGCCCCGACGCAGTCTCGAAGCCCTGCTTTATCAGCGCGAAGGGGGCGCTCGCGGTTGCGACCGGCACGCGGCCGACGGTGAAGGCGCAGGTTGGCGGCTCGCGCGGCCTTTGCGTTCGGCGCCTGTCTGCCGGCAGCTGGTCGCGGTCTGCCGAGACGTCTCGGTGCCCCGCGTATAGGCGCTCCAGCCAGGGAGGGAGGCGCCCGCCTGGAAAAACCGCGGCATCGATGTCACCGCGTCGCGGCTCGTTCGGCGCCTGAGACCGCGCCGTTGGCGTCGGCGCGCGCCGAGGAGCTCTTGGCCGCCACGGCTGGCGCTTTCGAGGATTTCGACAACTGGGTGGATGCATTTTCGCAAGCGTGCGCGGACATATGAGAGAGCGTGGCCGTCGCCCCAATGCGCTTCGCAGACTCCGCAGGCGCCCCGGCGGCGCCGCGCACCTGCCCCGAGGCAGCGAAGGACGGCAAAGCGTGCCAGATTATACGCAAGGGGCGGGGTCCCGGACCGCGAGCGCTTTCTTCGGAGGGCGTGAGTTCCAGCGCGCGCCAGAAGTGCACGCGCAGCGCACTTGGTCGTGCGCGGTCAGTCGTCCCGGATGCCTGCGCATCTGGCCGCGCATTCCTCTCGGCCGACGTCGTCGGCGAGCTGCTCGTCGCGGGGGACTTCTGGCCATCCTTGCTGCTCGTCTTCAAAGAGACGGAGTGCTACGAGGCGGTTCGCCGGCACGTGACAGCGGCCACCGCTGATTCGATGGCGCGATCCCTGCGCGGGCACCCTCACCTGGGCGAGCTGTCAGGCTTTGAAAAGCCGCTCTGCTCCGGGCGTTCGACCGCGCCGCGGACCTCGCCCCAGATGTTAAGACTTTCGCATCACTTTTGTCGGCTTACGCCAACGCGGTGTGGACGCCGCTTTGCGTTGACCTGTCCGGGTTAGCGTTGGCGGCCACTGGCGCCGTCTTCAACATGAATATCAGCGCGCCCGACTGTCGGCAGCTGGCATGCCGAGCGCTCGGGGGCAGGCAAGCGCGCGAGCGCATGTTCGGGGGCATCGCCGCCCTCGACGACATTCCGCCTCTGCTGCCGCTCTACTGCCCGATTGAGAATCGGCCCCAGAAGGAGAAACTCTGGTTTACCGCGCTCACGTTTATGCAGCTGGACGGCGCCCGGCCGATGAGGGTGAACGCGGACAATTTGGCTGCGGATTTCGCGATGGTGGTTTCGCGTCTTCAGGCAGCTCTGCCACCTGGCGCGGTAGTCTTGCGCGACGACCCCGCTGCTGCCTTTCTCCGCGCGCAGTTGGGCGCCGGCCACGTCGTCGCAGACCACTCGGCCTTCGAAGCATTTGATTGCGAGCTTGGCGAGGACCCGCTGCGCGCGCACATGAGGCCGCCGGGCGCCGTGCGCCTCTCGTCTCGCGAGGCTGCGCGGGCTGCCCGCCGCCTGCGCACAGCTTCGGGCGGCTGGGACCCCCGGCGAGGGTCCGACGTCGCCGACCGCCGGGGCGCGCAGGAGGAGCAGCTCCGCGCCGCCGAGATCCTCGCCGCGCACCGCAGCGCGCAGCGGCTGCCGCAGACCGCCTTGAAGACGGCCCTGGCCAAGGTGCCGGACACGCGGTCGCGCCCGGACAGCGGGGCAATGGCAATTTCGCCGCCGTGCGCCAAGGCCGCGGCGATTGACGAAATCGCCCGTTGGACGAACCCAGGGGCTCCGCGAACTGAGGCGGCGGCAGCGGCGCATCGCGCCTGCTGTGAGCCTCTTCCGACAGCCGAATCGATCCGATCCGATTTGTGCGATCTCGCAAAGTTGCTGCGTGCGCCCAGTTTTGCCAGCGCGCCGCGGGGCGCCGATGGCGCGCGGCACGAAGCCCAGCGCGCATTTTTGCAGAGGTCGCTGAAGAGGCGGCCCGCGATGCGACGGGAAGACGGCGACCAAGGAAGAACCGCTGTTACTTTAACGGCGCTTCCAGCGGGCCATCAGCCATCCCGCGACGCCGTGCAAGAGCAGCGCAAGGACGTCCACGTCCACGGCTTGTTGGCGGCGTTGCGCATCATGGCCTGGGCCCGCGCGCGCGGCTTCGATGTCAGCCCGGGCAGCGTTGGGGTCGAGCGCTTGCGGCGCAATGTCCAGCGGCAGGCGCGGGGCAGGGGGCGCTCTCAGGCAAGCTTGCGCACCGTGCATCTCCTCGCCCTTAGCCGCTGGATGCGTCTCTTGCAGAGTCGCCCCTCCCGCTTTTTCCACGCCCGCGGCGACGCAAACGCTGCCCATCTGGCGCAGCTGCTTCTTTCAAAGGAGAAGCTTCCTGCCGCGCTGGCTGGCGAAGCTCAGTGCAGGGCGCCGATTGCGCAGTCGTCCCGGGCGACTGCCCTGCCGTCGTCCGAGGCAGAGGTTGGCCGGGGTGCACAGCGCCGTCGCTTCGGGCAGCGTCTAGCGCCCCACCCCCGTGCCTGGCCCTGCTGGAAAATCATCCGGCGGGCGCAGAGGGGGGCGACACAGATTGGAACGGATGCGTCGGGGTCAGTTTGCACTTCCTCGCCAGCTCCAGTGCACCCGAGGAGGTTCCCATGCGGCACAAGAGGTCTCCAAGACGCCCCATTAGGGGGCACCAGTAACTTCCGTGGAAGGCTCCAAGAGGCAAGCATCATCCAGATGTTTGGAAAGCAACTATCACAGCGTATCACATCATACCGTATCATATTCGAGTTGCAGACTGTCACCACGTCGAGACTGCCCCAGAGCCCTCCCCCCAAACGGCGCCCCAAGACAGCCCCAGAGGCACACTAGAGGGCCCGCATACGGCCCGAGATAACACGGAGACGGCTCCAGAGGCGCCCAAGAAGCCCCCGAGGCTCTAGGGGCGGCCACGAGAACTCTGACCCGCAACCTTGGCACGGTTGCTGGTGGACCACGGGAAGTTCGATATGGTCGGCGCGTTGAAACGGAGACGTTGGGAGCAGCATGCGCCTGGCACTCAGATGAGGGGAAGTCTCCAGCCCCTTGAGCGCCATTTGTTGTCATCTGAATAGCCCCTCAAGCGCCGCGAGCCTCCCCCCCCTCCTCCCCCCCCCCGAGCTACTGCCCCCGATAGCCTTCCGAAAGGACCCCAAACAAGCATCCACGAGGAAGCTGGCCCGCAACCCTGGCACGGTTGCGGGTGGGCCACAGATCCTTCAATACCGTCGACGGGCTGAAACAGAGAAGTTGGGAACAGCATGCGCGCCGTGCCAGGCACTCACATGAGTGGAAGTCTCCAGCTCCTTGAGTGCCACTTATTGTTTTTTCGTGGGCGAACGAATTGATTGGCAGAGGCGAGCAGGTCGAAATGTAAAAAAACAGAGAAGTAAAAACGTAAAAAGGGAATGCCCATGCCTTCCTTCTACTTTTCTAGTTATCGGATCTGACGGCCGTGGAAGCCGACTTGTTTATTGTTCTCACGTTTCTCCTTTTCGCGTGTGGCTTTCAGCTGGTTGCATTTCCCCTGCTTTTCTACTCTGTTCCTTTTCGCGCCTAGCGTTCTGCCTTCTGCGCCTTTGGACTTTTCCACGTTTCTATGTGTGTGCGGCTTCCGCCATGCGCCACTCAAAAACAACAAAGAATTTCACATTTTCTTCAGTGAGAAGGAGGGGGAGGAGGAGGAGGAGGAGGAGGAGGAGGAGGAAAAGGAGGAGGAGGACCAGGAGGAGGAGGGGAGGAGGAGGAGGGGAGGAGGAGGAGGAGGAAGAGGTGGAGGGGGTGGAGGGGAAGGAGGAGTAAGAGGAGTAAGAGGAGTAAGAGGAGTAAGAGGAGGAGGAGGAGGAGGAGGAGGAGGAGGAGGAGGACGAGGACGAGGACGAGGACGAGGACGAGGAGGAAAGGACGAGGAGGAATAGGAGGAGGAAGGAGGAAGGAGGAAGGGAGGAGGGAGGAGGGGGAGGAGGAGGAGGAGGAGGAGGAGGAGGAGGAGGAGAGGAGGAGGATGAGGAGGATCAGTATAAACCCAAGACTCATCAACGATGTTGGAATACCCCCCCCCTCCAAGCTCCCAGGCCCCTACAAGTGTCCACTTCCACTGGGGCACGTGCGCCGTTGTGGGACAACCTTGTGACAATCTTGGGGCGTGCCAAAACGGCATCCTCAGGACTTCAACGCCACGAATCAACCTGACTGCTGCGTCTTGACGATGCTAAATCGTCCCAAAGCACCATTCCTGGGACTCCACCGCCGCGATTCAACGAAGATGTTGCGCCCTGACAGTCCTGAATCCTTCCAAAGCGCCAGCTCTGGAATGTTATCCATGAGAGTCCGTGAAACTCTTACAATTTCTTAGGACGAGTGCGCGCGGCGCTCAGGCGAGAGCCAGATTTTCAAAAGGACCCGACCTCAATCCGTTAAGTTCTTGCGAATGTTTAAAAAGAACGTGCGCGGCGCTAAGGCGACAGCCGCATTTTTGAAGCGACCCGCCCTCCATCTGGGACCCCCCCGGCGCGCCCTTCCGATTGGCTTTGGGGTGCGAAAGGGATGAGTTCTTCACAAAGACAAGTAATGAATGAGAAAGGGGACGAGGAGGAGGAGGAGGGGGAGGAGAAGGAGGAGGAGGAGGAGGAGGAGGAGGAGGAGGAGGAGGAGAAAGAGGATATGCCTTGGAGGAGGAGGAGGAGGAGGAGGAGGAGGAGGAGGAGGAGGAGGAGGAGGAGGAGGAGGAGGAGGAGGAGGAGGGAGGAGGAGGCGGAGGAGGAGGAGGAGGAGTGGAGGAAGGGGGGAGGGAGGAGAAGGCGGAGGAGGAGGCGGAGGAGGAGGGGCAGGAGGAGGAGGAGAGGAGGAGGAGGAGAAGGAGGAGGAGGAGGAGGAGGAGGAGGAGGAGGAGGGAGGAGGAGGAGGAGGAGGAGGGGGAGAAGGAGTGAACGGGGCGCTCGGGTCAGGGACCCTAGGTTTTCGGCACTTTTCCAGTCTCGGGGTGCCTTCCAGCAGGTGCGCCTGGCCGAGAGAGAGTTCCGGGGGGGGCCGGGTCGGCCCGAACGGCCACGGGAGAGCCGAGCTATGACCCAAAAACCACCAGGCTTCCGAGAGGGGGCAGGCCTTCTCAGAGTGGAGAGCAGCGGGGCTTCTCAGAAGCCCTCGCAGGAGGGCGCCCCCTGCAACTTCACCGAGCCTGGCCAGGCCCACCCTCGGCCCAGCATCGGTGTGTACGCCCTCCTGGCCCAGCGAGGAAGGCATACACACCACAGGTCTTGGGCCCTGGATGGGCCTGGCCAGGATCGGTGTACGGGTATAGTCGGCGCTCTCCGAGGTCGTGCCTTCTGAGAAGCCGTCGGTAGCTTCGGACAAGGCCCACAGAGCTCTTCAGGATGCGCGAGAGGGCCTCTGAGAATCCCCGCCGCCTTCTTACAAGGCTCGCCCCCTCTCCCGTCCCCCCTGCCTTCGCCGGCGGTGCATTACATGCTCGGGTCATGCGCACAGCGTGCTCTGCCCCCCCCCCCGCGCGGGGGCCGCCGGATTTTCCATGTCGGCGACAAGGTCATGGCCCGGTTCCCTCAGGACAACGGCTTCTACGAGGCCGAGCTGCTGGAGCTGATGGAGGGCAACCGTTGCAAGGTCAAGTGGGACGATCCGGACGGCTACGACCCGATTGTGACGATGCCAGTCGGGGATGTGCAGCTGAAACTGCGGGCGCCATCCGCATGCTGACACACCAAATACAAGTGAAATTCCACAGAAAGACTCCTTCTCTCCCGAACGCAGTGCAGCAGCAAATCAGAGCCATGCACCCGTCCACCTCGAAAGGCAGCCGCAGCGCAATGCACATCATACGGTAGAGGGAAACAATTAGTGAACACCCCCCTGCCCCCCAAACTCAAAGTTGGCACGCGCGGGGGAGACTGCGGTCGAGGTGCAACTCATCAGACCCACCGCCAACTTTGAACATTGGGTGGAGGGGGAGGCGTTGACAGATGAATGCGGCATGGGTGTTCGCTATTTTTTCCGAGGCCTGTATCAATCGTCACCAATGCAGCGACTCATATAGCAAAGCAAAGCCAAGCAAGACAACGCAACGCAGTGCGAAAATCCCATCAGCACGAAACACCGTAAATCATTGCAATCCAAGGCAAAACAATACAATGCTATGCAGAACGGCTCGGGACAACTCAACCCATACGACAGAAAGCAGAGGCAGCATTGAAACAGACTACACTGCAGCCGCCGCATCTGATTGCGCCTGCCCTGGATGGAAGGCAGAGCAAAGCAGCCCCAGACAAAGCCCCATGCAATTGCGACAGCCTGGTCCCCTCGTGCGCGGGTCGCTGCTGGCCTGCTCCCGTCAGTCTGTCTGCAGTCTGACATTCGACTCTTCGTTTAGGCCAGAGCTCAATCAAACGACACCTCGTGATTACGCTCGAGGAGGAGGAGAAGGAGGAGGAGATGATGATGATGATGATGATGATGATGATGATGATGATGATGAGGAGGAGGAGGAGGAGGAGGAGGAGGAGGAGGAGGAGGGCGGAGGAGGAGGAGGACGAGGAGGAGGACGAGGACGGGGAGGGGGTTTTCCCAGGAGGGGTCCCCCAGGGGCTTCGCACCCCCTGTTTTGACGAGGTTCCGAGGCCCCTGGGGTTCTCTCTGGAAAACCCCCTCCCCCCAAGCCCCCTTTGGAACCCACTGGAATGGTTACATTGTGGTTTTTTATT